TTCCTTAAATAAAATCATTTGCCCAATGCAACTTGTTTATATTGGATAGTTATACACTAATGTTTTTAGTTTATGAAACGATTTAATAAACTAAAACATTATTGCATCCTTTTATAAAATATTTGATGGGATGTTAATCCTGCAGCGGAAATGGAGATCTTGTTTTTGAATTTTAAGCAAAAAGAAAAAAAAAACACAATAAAGAGGAAAAATACAAGGGAAAGAGTTTTCCTTTACCTCTGAAGAACTTTTCTCCGGTTAAATCAAACAAACACCACCACGACCTTCCTTGCTATCCGACAAAGATTCGATTGTGTAGGAACCAATAGGGAATTTAGTGGTCGAGAGAGTTGTGGGAGAGAATTTATTTTCTCTGTATCTTGTTTTTCCAACCGTTCAACCAATAGAGAAAATGAAAAACTTATTCTACAACCACCAAAGGGTGACATGGAGTAACTCCCCACATCACCACCTCACCACTCCCCTATGTTTTTGGGTGAGTCGGTTTATTATTTTATTTCATTTTATTTTATTAATTAATATATAATAATTAAATTAATTAACATTTAATTAATTAATTAATTATTAATCTAATTCATAATTAATTATTTAATAAATTATTAATCCAATTCAAATATTAAATAAATAAATAAATAAATAATTAATTAATTAACTATTAATTATTTATCTTTTAATTAAATATCACATATTTAATTAAAACTATATATTTGAATCATATTAAAAAAAACATCTATCTTGTATAACCTATAGTTTTAACAAGAATCCAATTCATATTAATTATTTGAACCCTATTCAAACATTTCTCTCCTAATATATAGTATTAATTTTGAATCTTTATCCAAAATTAATATATATTTATATATAATGATCAATATACATTATATACATTCCCTTATATAATTTGAACATTTTAAATTATTTAATAATTCTTGATCCTCGTTTTATCCATTGTGAGCTAGTAAGGGTATCTAATGGACCTACAGATTAGAAGCTCCAACGATACGACATTAATCAGCCAAACTCATTAACCGAGTTAATCAACATTCATTAACTATGAGTTACCCTACTAAAGACTCGTAGCTGTATTCTTCTTATTGCAGAATATTTTCGTATCCACAAATGTACGACCATTAACGACAACTCAATCCTTCACGAGTGTTCGTAACCACATATGGGTCAAATTACCGTTTTACCCCTGTGTCACATCTTGTACCTTAAGTACCGCTAATCTTCTAATGAATAACCCGGTTATGGTCCGACCAATAACCGGAAGTCCCTCACGGGCCAGTGAGAAGGTGTGGCCCCTTATTCATGTCCCAAAGTTAGCACTTAAGAGAACACTCATCTACTCCCCCAAAGTCGGGGAGGAGTGAATTTCATCTTGTGAAGTTATGTTCCCAACTCCCACTCAGTCTCGTCCCCAAAATGGTAGGAATGTTGAGTCGACGACTCAAACCACTCTCACCCGTGTAGATTAAAGAACAAGTCTTTACGGACATGAGTCCATAACTCACTCAAGATTGAGAACGAGTTGTCCGGTCGTTCTATGAAATAGCAATCTATTAGTCAACGACGTTACATCTAAAGATTGACTATTTTGCGGTCAGGTCTTATACAAACTCATTGTATAGGATACCCCCACTCACATGTCTCCACACGAACGACCTCGATCGGGTCGTATGTAACATTTACAAAGTGGGCCGTATTCATAGTGTTGCCAGGATAAGGTACCTAGCCTTATCCATATACTATAGACCCTTTAGGTTATTCTCGAGACATTATCCACCTGTATATCGAGGGTATATCAAATATATACCCATTATATATATTGTCCCAATTACATAATAATAACCTTGGATGTTTAATTTATTGGATTTGGACAATGCAATGCTGTAAATTCAACAACAAATTTATTGAATAAGAAAAACAAAACTTTATTGAATATAAATATGTTTTTACATAATTACAAACTACGAGTTCAGGGCAACACACCTAACAATATTGACTAATTCAACCTTCAAGACGGTTCCCAGGTAGAGGTGTTCTATAAATGGTCAGCTTAAATACCTCAATCTAGACATAACCTTGCTAAGATAGGGTTCGCTCAAGGCAATATTTTATAATTAAGTCTTTTTTATTATTTAAAAAAAACAAACTCTAATCACATTAGAACCAAAAACTTTAATGTAAAGTTCAATTAATTAATTTTAAAACACTTTTAAAACAAATTAATTAAACCTAAGCATGCAACTATATGTTATAAGCCATTAATAACATGTAGTACATACATATAACAATTATATATACATACACGAAACTATAGCTTATACACATGTATTACATGAAATTGATAAATATAACACTTATATTTACTAAAGAAATTTCATGCTCAATGCAAACCATTCTCATATAATTAACACAACACTATCATTAATTACTCATGAAAATGAATCATGCTTCATATAATATAACATTTATATTAAATTAATAATGCATGATCATGCTTTAACTTATGGTGGTATTTTAATCTAAATGACATACCATATGCAACATACAATTAATTAAATGACATTCATAATGCAAAATAATTAATTAAAGAGCAAATTGGACTTGATTTTGGCATCCTAAAAGTATATTAAATTAATATAATTAATTTAATCATGATTATATTAATTTAATAAAAGAAAAACGAAGAATTAAAAAATATGACAACTACTGCATAAACCCAGGACCTCTACTTCATTAAGGCAGCATTGGATACTCTGAACAAAGTCTCAATATTGTGACATTTTATGCAATCCATGTGTATTTGGGCTAGCGTTTCAACGTGATTTGTTTGAAATTAATTTTTTTTAGATTTACGAATTCAACCTCAGGTCTTCTCCTTCAACATCAAAAGAACTACTAAAACGTGGCCAAAAACCTCCAAATTCATCCAGCAGAAACAACACGGACTTACCCAATGATTTACAACATTAAATTCCCAAAAACACCAAGCCTTTTACATTGATCAAATCAAACGAATTTGTAAATCTAAATGCCAAAACCAACAAACATCAAATTGTAAAATCCATAACATTAGCCCACACTCTCAAAATACATAGTATTAATTTTGAATCTTTATCCAAAATTAACATATATTTATATAATGTATTTGATACATTATATACATTCCCTTATATAATTTAAACATTTCAAATTATTTCATAATTCTTGATCCTTGTTTTACCCGTTGTGAGCTAGCAAGGGGACCTAATGGACCTACAGATCAGAAGCTATAACGATGAGATATTAATCAGTCAAACTCATTAACCGAGTTAATAAACATTCGTTAACTGCGGGTTACTCCACTGAAAACCTGCAGTTGCATTCTTCTCACTGCATAATATTTTCGTGTCCACGGATGTACTACCATTAACGGCAAATCAATCCTTCACGAGTGCACGTAACTCTAGCTGGGTCAAATTACCGTTTTACCCCTGAGTTACATCTTGCTCTTTAAATACTACTGCTCCTCTAATGAACAACCCGGTTATGGTCTGACCAATAATCGGAAGTCCCTCTCGAGCTAGTGAGAGGGTGGGGTCCGTTGTTCAAGTCTCGGAGTTAGCATGTAAGGGAACTCTCATCTACTTCCCTAAAGTCAGAAAGGAGTGAATTTCATCTTGTGAAGTTGTGTTCTTAGCTCGTCACTCGGTCTTGTCCCCAAAATGGTTGGATTATTGAGTCGGCAACCCGAGTCACTCTCACCCATACAAATCAAAGGACGATCCCTTGTAGGAAGGAGTCCATAACTTGCTTAGGATTAAGATCGAGTTACTTGGTAATCCTATGAGATAATAATCTATTAACTAACTGTGCTAGAGCCAATCATTAATTATTTCGCGGTCCAGTCTTATACAAACTTATTATAAAGGATATCTCCACTCGCATGTCTTTACATGAACGACTTGAATAAAGTCGTTTGTAACTATTACAAAGCGGGTTGTATCTGTAGTGTTACCAGGATAAGGTACCCAACCTTATCCCCATTTAGGTTATTACTGGAATATTATCTACTTGTATATCGATATATATTGTACATCAAATATATATTGTATATCAAATATATACTATTCCAGACTTTTATATCGAATATATACTGTATATATACTATATATCAAATATATACACTGTATATTAAATATATGCCATATATGCCATATATATTATTCTAGTTACATTAAATAACCTTGAATCTTAGTTTATTGGAATACGAGTAATGCCAAGAAATAATAAAATAACTTTTATTAATAATAAATAAAATGTTTACAAATTAAAAATTCACGAGCTCAGGACATTAAACCCAACATGAATAACACATTACTTAATAATAAAGTTTTACTAGAGGTAAGATTTAAGAGGATCTTCCATTTCCCAAGTACTCCAACAATTGTTGTGTTCCCCATAAAAAACACATTAACCATCAGTAGAGTCCTGGAAGTTGTGGAAGAGGTCATGATTCAAGTAGAAATGTCGGGACACTCTAATGTCAAGAATACAGTCCAACTTGTTCTCTACCAAATTTGCTTCCACGACCACAATAGCAATGATTTTGTCCCATCTCTGAAAGGTTGACTTTTGGAGCATGCTTTTTATCTTGCTTGTGTTTCCTCTGGGTGCACTGGTAGGATTTGTGTCTCGGTTTTCCATAGACATAACAGACAAGTTTGGTCTTCTTGATTATTCCACCAGAATTTTTGACTTGGAATCCTTTCTTCTTTTGTGCTTTCTCCTTAAGAATCTATTTCCTTTGTTTTTGAATCTATCTTTGGAAGCACTAGAAGATTCGATCAAATTAGCATTAACTGAATTTATGAATTGAGAAAAAAGCTTATTCTTTTGTACTTTCTCCTTAGGAATCTGTTTCCTTTGTTTTTGAATATGTCTTTGGAAGCACAAAAAGATTCGACCAGATTAGCATTAACTGAATTTACGAATTGAGAAGAAAACTTATTATTATGCCTATTGGCTTCCTCTGTGCGCATGTGTTCTTACAAAGTAAGGTTCTTCTTCTTATGTTTCAGGTGGTTGCAATAATCACTCTAGGAAGGAGAAGATTTTTCCATTAGCACATTCGCTTGAAGGATCTCACACATCTTCATGCCTTCAGTCAGCACATTTTCCACCAGGATTTCATACTCATGAACCTGATCCATTATTGGTTTGTCATCCGACATTTGAAATTGCGGCCATTTACCAACAACATACTTCTTCCTGCCAAGGTTTTAAATGTCAATGTTGATGGAAATGTCGAGGTATTAATTTCATGGAAATATCAATGGAAATATCGATAAAATGTTGATGTCGATGGATATTTAAGTAAAAGTTAGAAAAATTAAAAATCGTAAAAAATATTTAAATTAACAAATAAATGTTTTCTCATTTCTAAATTAGTTAAAAATAATTAATATATATATTATATTATATATATATATATATATATTAGCGACATTTTGTTGATATTTTTCATATTTTGTCGATTTTCTTGTACTATGATGGAAATGTCGATTCACCCCTCATATCGATGTCGAATCCATGGAAACATGGATATGTCGATGGAAATGTCGACGTGCCGATAGATATTTAGAACCATGCTTCCTGATTGCATCGTCTCCACCATATATGGACTCTATCCAAAATAGTCTTTGAAGAATTTTTGGACTACAAAAAGATCAAAGAGAAAGTAGTTCATATGGTTGAGGAGATGCGTACGGATAGTCCTTATTGTCTTTCTCGAATTTGTCAATATTGATGACAGTGGCAATAGACGTCCTAGGATCAACAGCGACAATTGAGGTAGTTGCGGCGGCAGCAACAATGGTGATGGTAGTGACAATAGTGACAGCAACAACTGCGGGCTAGCAGCAGTGTGGATGTAATCGATCTCCAACTACTCAAAGAAAATCAGTAGCTTCTGGGACCAGCGGCGATAGTTGGATCCATCAAGTGGTTCAAATTTTGACAAGTCTAGCAGGACCTTTCCGAATCAGATAATAGTCATGGATTTTGCTTTCAATTTGTTGGAAAGGATAAGGACAAAAACTTGAATGGTAGAGAAATTGTTGTTGTGTCATGGGCGGAACCACTGCCTTGAAAGCAAAATTGGCCCGACCTCGGTGCTAAATCATTGCATTGCTAGAATGCTCCCCAAGGTTAACACAACCTTTGATTCAGACATGCACTTGTTCGAATGAGTTGAATCAAATTCGTGCTCAGAAAATCTTTCGAGAATACAAATGATAGAACAAAGTAAAGAATGAGAGAAAATGAAATGAGATGATTTGAAGTAGAAGAAGAATGTTGTATTTATAAGAAATGAGAGGCCAATTTTTTTAAATTTAAAATAAAAAATAAAAAATAACTTCAAAATTGGCCATTGCTTAACACGTGGTGAGACTTATTCTTCAAAGGGGTTAGGATAAGTACACATACTTTTTCTTCAATGCACAAGGGTCTGACACGTGTATGGACTAAATCTTCAATACGTAAGGATCAAACACCTGTTCAATCAATTTCATAAATTAAGAAATTTTTAAAGAAATCCATCTCCAAAAAGAAAGAAGCTCGAGCTAACGGACGGCGACAACGACGTGCATGTGGAATATGCTTTAAGCTTACCACAAGCTACTTTTACAAGTCCACTAAAAGGCTTTAGCATATAAAATATGATCCAAAGATTTTCATGTGAGACAAAAGAGTTTATAAAACATTTTTCTATTGTCATTTCTAACAGGAGGAACTTATCATATGGGCACTACAATGACGGAATACCACTATGATAGTTATGAAAAAATGCACCTCCTTTGGCAATTATTTTTGGAAATGGGAATTTCGATACCGTTACCAAAGACATGATTATAATGATAGTTTATATCAGTGATGTACTTGGTATTTGGTATATAAGGTATATAACTGACATACCTAACATAAAGTACATAAATGATATACTTAATCTATCAATAAAAAACCTGCAATGTTGCTTAAACCAAAATCTTCAACTTGAAGAAGGATTTAGGCAGTGAAATACCTAATATCAAGTGTATTATTCATATATTTAGTGTGGCTAATATACTTCATATTAAGTTTATTAATTATATTAGTGATATACTTTATTTATATTGAGTCTATCAATTATATAATTGATATACTTAAGTTGAAGTATATCAATAATATATTTGATATCTATACTAAATATAAGAGGGTTATAGGAATAGAATTTTTCTCATTATTTTACCTTTTTAATTTAAACATTTTCATAGTTATTTTGGGGGTAATTTTATACTTTAAATATAAAATTTTCTCACTCATTCTCTCCTTCTCTTTCTCCCACGCCACTTTCTCCACTTTCTCCACTTTCTCCACTTTTTTTCCTCTTTAAGTCCACTTTATTTTTATTATTTAATCATGTCAAATTTAATTTAAAGAATTAAAATATATATAGTTTTGCGTCTTTGTTTCTATGAATTAATTTAAAAAATTATAACTTATTTTCAATTATATTTAATAAAGAATTTCAAAAGTTTTGTAACTCTTTCTCTTCTACAACTATATAAAGAGCTTTTTATTACTCTTTCTCCCAACTTTTCTCTCACTAAAAATTGAGCATTCTTTATCTTTCGGTATGTTTTTCTCCTTTAGTCAATGTCTTGTATTTTCTAATATTTTAATTAGATTGTTTGATCTGTTTAACTTTTATTTTTTCTTTCAACGCAATGTTAATAATTATAATTTTAAAGAAGACTTATTACCTACAATATATAAGTAATTTATTCAAAAAGCTTACAAGATGAAATACTTCCGTTTCTTATTTTATTTTATTTTTCTTCATGTCATTCTATCTTTCAATCACTCAAAAAAGAAATTAAAACAAAGATTTATTTTCTTATATGCATTGTTATGTTTAGGAACAAAAAATGATGAAAAATCCATGAATATGTGTATTTGTAGAAAAAAGAATTTCAAGTAATCGAGGAATATGTGTTAAGTTATTTATTCTTGCTTGTTGTATTTTACTTATGGGAAATTTTCAAGTAATCGACACTCCTCAATATTTTTTAGTTACATCAATGAGATCAGTGGGTCATGAGAATTACTGAGACATCGATTTTATGAGATAAACCTGGAAAATACAAAAACTTAGTGAGGTAAACATTGAGACATAAAGAGCCCAATTATATTAAAAATTTTAACTATTTAATTAATTTATATGTTTCTATACTTTAAAATAAAACTATGAAATTTCACGTGCACCATGTGTTTCATACTAGTATTAATAAAAAGCCTATAATATTACTTAAACCAAAATCTAACTCAAAGAAGATTTATTAGTGATGTACCTAATATGAAATATAACATTCATATATATACAGTGACTAATATACTTGACATTAAGTATATCAATTGTATCAGTGATATCATTAGTATTTTGTTTATTATATATACCTATTATCATGTACATCAGTGATATATTTCATATTAGGTATATCAATTTATGAAAATAACAAAGGCAAAATAAAAAAACTAAAAGAATTTTTTATTTAATTTTTTTGTCATATTTACATAACCAAAAAGTTGGATATTTTTTAATATAGTGAAAAGACTAATTATTTCAAAACTAATTATAAAAGTTGTGTAGTTTTAATTTGGGCTAAGCAAGACCTTGTCCAGGTGACAAAAGGTTGTCTCTTGAAGGGACGAAGGGACGATCTTGCTATATGTAGCATAAAGTCATCTGCTTACCGTTTTAAAGTGAACTTCCCTTGGACCTAAATTTCCTCAAGAACCAAACAAAAAAATTAAGTTGGAAAGAGAAATTTATCTCCCAAGCCACACTGTTGACCGAAGCATCGATGAAGTCGAAAGAATCCCAAGCTTTTCTCACACACTTCTCGATACTCTCTCTGTTGATATCAAGCTCCATTGCCACATCTCGGTAGCTCTCCACTATCACAATTGAAGAAGCAGAGGAGAAATTTTAGAATCGATTAATCTTGTCGCAAAGAGATCATAGTATAGATACGACGAACAACAATGATGATTTTGCATCTAGCTCTAACAAGATCCAAAAAATAGAACTCAAGGCCAAGCCCCAATGAGGCTTCTATCACTATTCCAGTTGAGGAGAATCTTGCCAAATCGCGATGGTTGGACGCAACAATGGCTACAAAGGAAAAAATAAAGTCAAAGGAAACAAGATAAAGAACGCGTTATACGCGACAACTCAAGCATATGGACTTATCTAGCTTATAGCCACTTGAATCAAATTGTATAGTTGGTTTCAACCCGAAAGAGAAAGGTTAGATAGATTACCTTTCCAGTCGATTACCTTGGAAACACTCTACGAGTTTGATGACCAATCAAGCAAACATGCTCCGAGGATAAACAATGAAGTCCTAAGTTCGACCACACAAAGAAAATCACTATTTGGGGAAAGGGGGGTTTGCACAATGCAAAGGTGAGAAAATTCTCAATTTTCGAATTCTATATCAAATCAAAGGTATCTAAACAAGAGGGGTGCAAGCCTATTTATAGGCTAAGACTCATGGTCTTTAGAAGGAATTTGTAAAATAAAAAATAAACCTAAAAACTACGGAAAAATAAAAATTAAACAAATACTTTCCTAAAATTGAAAATACTTGCTAAAAATGAAAAGCAAATAAAATAAATCCCACATTTGTTTTTAAACAAATTAGGAAAAGGACAATTCCTAAAATGTTATGGAGTGGGCGACAAGACTCTCAAATTGGCACCAAAGGGGTGGCACCTAAGGAGGAAGGGGCTTGCAGTATCAAAGGCGGGCGCGCGCATGGAGGGGCTGGCGCTGGTGGATGGGCAGGCGTGCGCACGGGCGAAGGCAGAATCGGGGCACACGCAGGCACTAGCGACAGGGTAGGGTGCGCGGGCTGGAGGTAGGGGCGTGCGTTGTGAGGTTAGCGCCTGACGGGTGAAGGCACGCAAGCACTAGCGACATGGGAGAGTGCGTGGGCTGGAGGTAGGGGCGTGCGTTGTGAGGTTAGCGCCTGACGGGTGAAGGCGCACGACAGGGTGTGTCCTTGGCTTTGCGATGGGTATGTCCTTGAGATGTGGCCATTCGCTTGGCCTTTCCTCTACTTTTCTTTTCCTCTTGACCCTTGTTGGTTGTTCATTGACCTTCAAGATGGACAAAATTTGTTGATGGGTCCAATGAAGTCTTCTTCTTTTTGAGGGTCTTCCTTCTAGTTCTTCTTCTTGGTTGAAGTAGATTGAGTCTTGGAACTTGAAGGCCATCATGATCACATCAGGTGGTGTAGCATGTCGTCTTTTCAACAAACGACCTCATTTCGCCCGAATTAAAACTACAACATTTTAAAAATTAGTTTAAAATAATTAGTCTTTTTTACGACATTAAAAAGAAAAGTGCCAAAAAGCTGACTATCTTTGCAACTTTGCTACTCACAAGAAAAAACCCAAATTTTATTTTGGGGGCTAAAACTATAGAATGAACATGAACGATGGAAAAGGATGATTGATTAAGCGAACCCCGCTCCCCATCCATCCGTCTTTTGGCACTCCACAGTCTCTCGTATGGGCTTTCACGTTCTCAGAGCCCCTCCTCTCTCCTCCTCCACAGCCATATTCTTCAAACCCACTTCCACTTCCACTTCCACTTCCACTTCCGCTTCCGGTCTTTTTACCGGACAACTCGTAGCTTCCGTGGCGGGTTTGTTGCAGCCACAGCTGCGCCTAAATCTGAGGAATTGAGGCCCTCCATTTCGTCTGACCAATCTTGGGTTCCGCGGCAAAAAGGGTCTGAGTAAGACTATAAGCTTCCTCACGAATCTTCACTCCCATTTTATTCTATTTGTTTATCCTGTTTTCCATTTGAAACTGTGAAGTGATTTTTCTTTTCCTCCTGTGTATGACGTAATTGGAAGGGCTGGAAATTTTGGGTCGAAAGCTTTATGTTGTTAGATGAAGAAATTTGAAATTCTGAGATGCCAATCAAGTATAATTGAAGTGTTGAATCATTATTTATATCCGAGGGCGGGGAAGGTTGTCACGGCACAACTTTCATATGAAATTGATGTACAAATTTAGGGGTTAAAAGGACTTATTCCTAGTACACTCAGTATGATTCTAGCGTGAATTGTTGTTTTCCAATTTAATTGCTCTCTTTTGCAAATGCTTGGAGCTAGTAATCAAATACTCTTTAAAGGTCTTCCTTTCGTTCTTCATTTGTAGTGTGTAGGAAGAATCTGCGTTTGCTTCATTTAAGATTGAGATCAATTTTGCAGTTAACCTTTTTATTTATTATTATTTTTTAATGCTCTATTTCTTGTGGGAAGAATGATCAGAGTCCATGGCACTTTCTCCTCGGAAGTAGTTCTGAATCAAGAGGTCTTGCCCATCAACAGTGCAACAAAGGGAAATTGGTTTTTATCTTTTTTCTAAGGATTAAAGTGTGTACCTACCCTGAAGCACTATGTGGCAGAGAAGGTAGCATTAGAATATTGAAAGGAGCATTCTGAGTCTGCATTTGCCAACTTAGTTATCATGTATAAGCTTGGTGATCAAGGGAAAGTCATATACCTGCTTTCTTTCAGGTCACTAGTTCAAGTATATTTTATGTAAAATATCTTAGAATCATGTGGTTGTCGTATGTAGTCAGTTTTGAAGGGTGTGTGACCAAACTTGAATCCAAATTCCTATACTATTTTAGATTCTTGGAGGTTCTAGGATAGACAATGTGCTTCTTTGTTGATCCTATTCTAGACCCTTTTCTTTGGTCAAGACTTGAAAAGTGTTATGATTAAAGACACCTCCCAAGGGCCAAGATATATAGAAACAAATGATTGCCTCCTCTCCATGGTGCGAACTCATTATCTCTTCACCTCTCTAGTAGTAGCACTAGCACTAACATTCCTCAGGAGTTGGCCAAGACTATAGGGATAGGAACCATCTCAAAGAAAGTACAATTCTTTCTTTGGACTATAGCTTTTCAAAGCATCAATCATTGTGATAGAGTTAGGTGTTGGTTGCTTTCTTATCTCCTCTTATTTTTATTCAAAAGAAAAAGAAAAAGACTCCTAATTGGTGTGTTGATGACGGAAGATTGGGGAAAAACTTTGGCCATCTTTTCCTCTTTTCTTATTTCTCTTGCTCTGGCAAATGGTATATTTTCAGCAATTTTAGAATCTCTTGGTGTGCTCCTCAAAAGCTTCAAAGACCATGTATGATGTTCCAAATTCCAATTGGCCACGTTTTTGTACTGAAGGGTGGATCCTTTGGCTTAATCATATGAATGTTTTATGTACGAATTTGCTGGAAAGGAACGAGAGAATATCTGACGAAAATTAAAGTGTGTATTTATTTTGGAGGTCTTAGAGCTTACATGTTACACCCTTAAATTGGGGTCTCTAGCTAGGGACTTCGGTATCTACTCTCCCTTTATAATCAATGCCTCTTGCGAGTACTTTTTCCAATCTGTTTTGGCTTTCACAACCGTGGGCGGCCCTTGATTTTCTCTACTGTCAGTATCTTTCATAGTGAATGTGCGTACTTCCCCACTCCCCCAGGGAGAGGAAAAAAAAAGAAAGGAAAAGAAAGAGAGAGAAAGAGATATAATATGTAATATGTTTGACTAAACTTTTTCATCTTAAGTAGTACAGTATAGATAATTACGTGCCAAATCTGAATGTTTCTTTTCTTCTTATCCTTCACCAGATCCTTACCAGCTTCAGAAGTGCCTTTGAAAGGTCGTATTTATCACGAAACTTATGGGTGTCAAATGAATATAAATGATATGGAGGTTGTTCTATCGATCATGAAAAATTCTGGATACAGCGAAACTGTTGACATTCCTGAGACTGCAGAGATCATTTTTATCAACACTTGTGCTATCAGGGACAATGCCGAACAGAAGGTGTGGCAGAGACTTAATTACTTTTGGTTTCTAAAGAGACATTGGAAAAGCAATGTTGCTATTGGAAGGTCGCAGTCGCGGCACCCCCCAAAAGTAGTTGTATTGGGGTGCATGGCTGAGAGGTTGAAAGATAAGATACTAGATGCGGACAAGATGGTTGATGTGGTTTGTGGACCTGATGCTTACAGAGACCTGCCACGATTATTGGATGAAGTAGATTATGGTCAAAAGGGAATAAACACACTTCTTTCCCTTGAAGAAACTTATGCCGATATAAGTCCAGTACGAATATCCAAAAATTCAGTCACTGCATTTGTATCCGTGATGAGAGGTTGTAACAATATGTGCTCGTTCTGCATTGTTCCTTTCACCAGGGGTAGAGAGCGGTCACGTCCTGTGGAATCAATTGTGTGTGAGGTCAGAGAACTTTATAGAGAAGGGGTGAAAGAGGTAACTCTTCTTGGTCAGAATGTTAACAGCTACAATGATACCACTGGTAATACAGACGTGGAACCAGGAACTAATTGGAAACTCAGTGATGGATTTTCTAGCATAGCGAAGGTAAAGAAAATGGGTTTGCGTTTCTCCGATCTCTTAGATCGCCTTTCCACAGAATTTCCTGAGATGAGGTTTAGATACACATCTCCACACCCCAAAGACTTTCCCGATGAGTTTCTTTATTTAATGCGAGATAGACATAACATTTGCAAGTGCATCCATTTACCTGCTCAAAGCGGCAATAGCATAGTTCTTGAATGGATGCGTAGAGGATATACCCGAGAGGTCTACTTGGAACTTGTGCACAAGATTCGATCAATCATTCCAGATGTGGGAATAACTAGTGACTTCATATGTGGTAAGTGGCCTTCTGAACTTAGATATTTTGAATCACATATTTTTTGCATATGAAATGTTGGTATACCATCAAGTAGTTAGTTCTAGAAGATATTTCCTCAGAATTGCGATTTTCTAACCAATGATGCAGGAGATTTATTTTATCACCATGGTGATTGCATGATCTTGGATATAGAACTTCTTTGTATGTGATATATTGTTTTTCTCCTTATCCATTCTAGCTATAGTGAAATATTTGCATCAGCAATCAGATTGCAAATTGTAGGAAAACCATCAAAATTTCATCTGAAATACTAGCTTATTTGTTAGTCAGTTAACCAGACAATGGTCGTTCTTTCATTCAATCTCTCTTCATTGTGTCATAGTACTTGTATACTAATTGTTCTAGAATTGAGCTGTTGGAGGTAGACATTTGTCTATATTTGATTGCTTCTCTGTTATATATTGGATTAATTTGTAATTTTGATCCCTTTACTATTGACTGTCTCTCTATTTTGATCTCATAACTTTTAAAATATAGGTTAAAAAACACATTTGGTCCTTGTATTTTCATTAAAGTAACGATTTAGTCCTGAACTTTGAAAAGTAACTATTTAGTCCCCGACCTTTTGAAATGGTTACGATTTAGTCCTTAACATTAAATATTATAAAATTTAACAGAAAGTTGACATAGCTGCCAACTAGGATTGATGTGTACAAATTAAAAGGCTATTTGGCGAGTCAATTCAACCTTTAGTCGGTTCGGTTCAATTTAGAATGATTTAGACTTAAAAGAAGAAGATGCAGGTGAGTGTTGATGGCGGTGACAGTTAGGGATCTGAAATTTGGTGATTTTTTCGCACGGTCACGTTTCTAGACTCTCAACGTAGTGGATTCTGCTGGACATTTCGCTACCGAGGGCAATTCCAGGAGTTGGTGGGTGAGGGCGTGCTCAGAGGAGTTGGCGGGTGAGGGCGTGCTCAGACGGCATTCCCAATCAGATCCCATATTTGTCCCATCTGCTCTTGACGGTGATGAAGTCATCACCATTCACCGGAGAAGATGAAGCAGTCTTCAATTCGCGCATGATGAAGAGGGAAGGGAATATGAAATTGGATCGAGAAATTTTGATGAGAAAGAAAAAAGACTAGCACTTTGAAATTGAACCTGGGCCAATTCCGTTGTCAGGTGTTGGGAGAACCCGAATGGTGAAGCCTTGAATTATGACATTACTGCAGTTTGGGGAGGTGGGAGCAACTACAGACCAAGGGAGAAATAATGGTAAGCATGCGGTGAAGGGAAATAGTCACCTGCTGTGGATCGGAGTCGTGAAGCATTTTTTCGTTCTTTCTCTTTTTTCTTTTTAAAACTCCAAGACCATTTTAAATTTGAACCGAACAGAATCGAGATTGAACCAACCCATTAGATGGCACTTTAATTAGTACACCTCGATCCTAGTTGGCAGCTATGTCAACTTTCTGTTAGATTTTAACCTACTAATATTTAACGGGAGAGACTAAATCGTAATCAATTTTAAATTACGGGGACTAAATCGTTATTTGTCAAAGTTGAGGGACTAAATCGTTACTTTAATGAAACTACAGGACCAAATGTAATTTTTAACCACCTCCAAATTCCTAAATTTTTATGTTATGTTATCCTCTTTGTTAAAACTTAAAACAAAAATCTCTATAATGCCGGATATTGAGGCTTAATTCGGAATGAAAATGTTTGCTTTGATTGTTGAGAGTAGGTAACCCATTCCCCATGCTTCGGTGACATTCGATTTGGTTGATAATTTCCCCTATGTTATTCACATAACGCACAACATATATCACTCTCTTTCATTTTGATTTAGTATATAATTTCAATGGTGGGTGTAGCAAGGAATTTTGAACATCCTTATTTCTGATCCGGTGAAGAACATTGTCAAATTCTTGTATGAGAAATGGCATGTCAGAGACCGGTCGAAGTTACCGACTACCCTCACACAACTTGTTGAGTTGGATCCATGTCATATTTAAATTTTCAGCAAAGTAGCCTGCTCTATTTACTGCAAAGATTACTTGGTTATGTGCAACCCTTAGCGTCTAAAATCGAACTTTTCTTTCCCTTAAATTGTCTTTCTTTTTTTTCGTTTTTTTCTATATATATATATATAGATTAGAGATTGGTTTTCAAGTAGTCTTTAGCCATGTATAATATAGAATCAAAAGTACATTCCTCTTTTAATCACAGTGATATGTCGTCTTGCCATTTCTCAGCCCATTTCGTTGTATGCAGTTCATTTAGTGGTATTACATTACTCTCTTGATCCATCGTTCTTCATTTTCAATTTATAGGTTTCTGTGGAGAAACAGAGGAGGAACATGCAGACACTCTAAGTTTGATTAAAGAGGTTGGTTATGATATGGCTTACATGTTCGCGTATAGCATGAGGGAAAAAACTCATGCCCATCGGAACTATGTCGACGACATTCCAGAGGAAGTGAAGCAGAGAAGACTTACCGAACTTATAGAAGCTTTTCGAAACAGTACAGGTCGATGCTATGATTCACAAATTGGCAGTGTTCAGTTGGTGCTTGTGGAAGGACCGAACAAGAGAGCCCCAGATAGAGAGCTGATTGGCAAGAGTGACCGAGGTCATAGAGTTTCATTTGTTAATGTAGCAGTTCCAGATCGAGATGGCAAACACAATGGACAACGGAAAGCAGCAGTTGGGGACTTCGTGGAAGTCCGTATATCAAAATCGACAAGAGCGTCATTGTTCGGAGAGGCACTTGCCATTACAAAACTGAGCTTGTTTCACAACTGTAGGGATGATGAATCAATAGCCTGTGTGAGCTGAAGTTCAAATGAATTTAGATCATTACTAAAATGTTGGTGCTTTATTTTCTGGTTGACTTAGATTATCATTTCTCCTCTTTACTATTATAAGTGTAAAAATATAATTGTATCTTGGTAATAGTCTTCAAATTTTTT